GTATTACATTTTAAATTTACGTCTGTGTGCACTAAGTTAAGAATTCCACAATTTACCATATCCGGGTCGTTCCACCCTCCCGGCCCCGCTGCAGCGATTAATGTATCTTGTTCTTTTGTATAGAAATCAATTATTTTCATAACACTGTCCCAGGAGTCTTGAACATCCTTGAAGTTACGCCACGAATTACAATTTTTACGAATCAGTTTATAGTTCGGCTGAAAAATAAAAATCAGAGTTTATGTACTATATTTTATCCCGCGAATATTACATATATATTAAGTTTGTTTAAAGTCTTCATGTAACATTTAAATAACAACGTTTCCACATGGTCTATACACCACCATTAACAAAAACATGTGCAATGCAAATGAATCAAACGAATGAATTATTAAACAAAAAGTCGACGTGGGTTAGCATCAAGTCTGAATAATATTTTTTCGATGCACCTGCGCTTTGAATTACCTGTACGTACAGATAAATCAGGGACGCATGCGCATTCGCGTTTTTATACTGTTATCTATATTTCTTGCTATATAATTTAATTACCTTAATTGAAGCCTTTTGTTGGTGAAACGGCCATTCACATGAAAATACGATTGGTCGGCCTGTTTTGTTTAAAGCACGTGTCATCTCCGGATAGCCCTTATTCATCGTCCAGGGAAGTGAATAACATCCATCAAATTTAAGATAATCAATTCCCCAATCGGCGAAGGTCTGTGCGTCTATGTCCATGTAATTTAAACTACCAGGATATCCAGCACATGTCAACAGACCATAGTCTTCATAAATACCCAACTTCAGTCCTTTAGAGTGAGCCTGTAATAGCATGGTATCTGTTATTATAAATACAAAAATTGCGGCGCTTTATTTCTGTGCTTTTCTGTGCCGGCGTACAAATACCACTATGGAGATGCTTTATAACACGGTGCTTATAAGCAAGACATGTTTACAGCACTATATGAATATAGTTCCCTACGTGTTATGCCCTCACCGGCGGCTTTATTGGGTTTACAGTCGGCACTGAGGGCGCAACTCACACAAGCAAGTACATGTATACAGCTCAGCATTACTTACGTAATCAGCCAATGATTTTATACCATTTGGAAATCGAGTTGAGTTTGCTGTCAGTCTGTTGTTCTCATCTCGTTCATGTGACATCCAACAATCGTCTAAATTTACATATTCATATCCCACATCTTTGTAACCATCGGCTGCTATTCGATCAATCATGTCTCTAAACAATTTCTCTCTTCATGTAAACAAAAACACAAAATAACCGTATAATAAGATCAACATATCAGCACTAAAAACGCGTTGGGAATAAAAACAAAACATATATACGAATCACGCTATTATTGCCGTGGTATAGCAAACAATTGCCACATAGATACACCCAATTGTATTTTGACTATGACATAGTCTCTGAACTAAAAAACATTGATGAACCAATTTTGTAACGTGACAGGGGTGTTCAAACTAGCATTATTTTTGGTCAGAGAAAATAACAGAACTAAACGAAATAGAACTACATTGTATAACGACCGAGATTCAGTTAATATATATCTCAAAAGAAGATGTCACAGAAAAATACAGCAAATTTCAATGACATTTAATTAGCTCGCATATTAACTTCTTAATTATCAGATAAGTTATAAGTACAATCACCAAATAAGGAATCCCCCTTATCCTGTACGACGGTAATACACGCAAACGGAAAAATACATTGTATACATTATATACTTCCCTAGACATGCGCGTGTTCATTTCGGATTGTACAGAGAGTATGGTGTTAATCATTGTTTTATGTTGACCTGACATGAACTCACCCAATACAGTTATTCGGATCGTTGTTGCAGTCGACGTTGCATCGGAACCTTTCCCAATCTATCCACCCCATTGGAGGCGTCCTTGACAATCCATTGTCGAGTGTAGTCGATATTTTAACGAAATATAACATCATAAACAGATATAAGAGCCATGCCTTCATCTTGATGTTTTGACTGAGTACCGAGTCTAAAGTGTAGTACGCACCACCAATTAACTTAATCTCTAAAAGTACATGGCATATCTTATCAGCGCCCTTTAATCGACCCTTGCTTAATAGTTAAGGGGGTAATAATTATATGTCTATACCTTCCCAAAATAGCGTTTTGACGAGATTTGAAATTCCTAATCCTCAAAAACAGTTTTCTCCACACATATATATGCGAGTTACGTAAACTGTGGACGTCCTTCATTGGGGTTGCCATGGTATACAATTTGACCACAGTTTTAGAGAATCGTACATTCTTGGACATGTGACCATCATTATTATTCTGGCCGTTGGTTTATTTCTGTGAACTGATGCTCTTAATCTAATTGTAAACCAACTACACTGTTATTCATATACCAAGTATAATTGCTAAATATAACTGTGTATACCTTGTAAACAGGAATTTTCTTATCTCCATAACTGTAATATATTCTGTAAACTGAGATTGCACAGCTTCAGCTAAGGTGCAATGTCTGGATTTGACGACTTATTACTCAACTATTGAATTATACTATTATTACATCCGATAACCCACATTTTCCATTAATTAACATGATTGAACCTGGAAACATGTTTGTATATGGTTCCTATACTAACTGTGAGATCTGGTTTTGATATTAGCATATTACATGTTTCTGCTCTCAATGTAACTATGTATGTATTATACGAGTATCTAGGAGATTATTTGTCCTTCAAAAAGTGTATAAACCCCACGAACAGTATTGTTGTTACGATGGTGTCTCAATTGTTTCACTCACTCACTCACTCACTCACTTACTCACTCACAAATCACGTGGAATACATACCATTTATAGTAAAATGACATTTTGTACTGTGTGTATAATGCCAACAAAATTAGCAGCATTGTAAATATAATTACCGTCCATTCCATGGAATCGAACTTTCATCTATATCAAAATGTGTTAACCAAGGAAAATAACGCAATTCAATAAATTTGTAGTTTTTACTTTACAAAAAACTTTACATTGAGAAACAATTGTTAACACGTTTAAATATTATTTTACCACAAACATCACTGAATGTATAACTAGAAAAATTGAATAGTTAAAATTTGACCGGTGAAGCTGTCACCATGACGACACCTGTCGGATTGACCGAGGTCACGAATGTGCCTCTTACGTTATAGTTTCCCAAATCGCGATGCAGAAACAAATCTCTGAGGGCGTACTTCTCGACAGTCTTGGTGAAGCCAATCTCCTCCAATGTCACCGTGACGTTGGATGGCCCACCGCCAACTGCTTTGTTAAAAAACACCACTGCGTAACATCCGTCAACCAGTGGTCTGCACCACACGTCAATGTTGCCTCTCTGAAATGTAAATTACAAGCATTCTATTTACTTGACACGGTGTATTTGTCTGATCACTTCATCAGATCCGCCATATTGTTTTCCTAGTTAGTAGCTAGTAGTGCCACAAGTCAAATTATCAATCTATCTCATCACAACTAGACTGGAGGATGTTTAATTCGTAATACTGACAAATAGGTAGTGGACAACACGAAAAAATCGACGTACTAGAATAGGAAACCTCGCGCATCGGAAATCCAATATCAGACACGTTTTGTCACAGTAATATTATCACATAGCACATAAAAAAATACACCGATGGAGTCGTATTTAACCGTCAGATTTTAACCTACCGAGATGACCCTTCTACCCATCTTTCCAAGTGCATCTTGATCCACAGCAATGACTTCTTTATTGAGTAATATCTCTTTGGCCTCATCGCTAATAGTTCTCAGATCGGCAGACATCATTAAGGGTGCAGCAAATATTGACCACATAGCCATCTGGGATTTTGACTGATCGTAACTCAGACCAAAGTCACCAATAACCAGCTAGAAAAGATAATGTGAATTCATGAGTTATGGTGTGTTCGTGCAATTCATCACTATTGTCCCATCACATGCTATGTTATTCTTCCGGGTCAATTGTCATATTAGATGTAATGTAATTTCGCAAAACATAGAAATAATGTAAATGGACTTGCACGTGTCAATACAAAACACATAAGAACTATACGTTTATTGTTTTACACTTTACTAGTTTGTAACAAATCAGGTGCTTACCATATCCGGGTCGTTCCACCCACCAGGGCCGGCTGCAGCGATTAACTTATCTTGTTCATTTGTATAGAAATTGATCACACTCAGAACACTGTCCCACGAGTCGTTAATATCGTCGAAGTTTCGCCATAAATTGCAATTTTCCCGAATCAAATTATAATTTGGCTGAAAAAACAAACATATAGATATATCGATTCTATGATTATACTATATATAATATCATTGTTATCAAAATGATTATGATAAATTGTAATACCTTAATTAATACCGCACGTTGATAAAGTGGCCATTCACAAGAATAAAAGATTGGTCGACCAGTTTTGTTCAAAGCACGTGTCATCTCTGGATAGCCTTTATCCATCGTCCAGGGAAGTGAATTGCATCCATCAAATTTAAGATAATCAATTCCCCAATCGGCGAAGGTCTGTGCGTCTATGTCCATGTAATTTAAACTACCAGGATATCCAGCACATGTCAACAGACCATAGTCTTCATAAATACCCAGCTTCAGTCCTTTAGAGTGAGCCTGTAATTGGTTGTAATATGACGTAATTTATATCACCATGACGAAGATTATGTTCTATGCAAAAATCTAAATAGTTGGAGCAATACTCTGACAGCAACGTATTAGTATTCGTGAAAGTCCTATGTCAGATTTCATAAGTTAACAGGTGATACATTTCGGTGAAAATGATCTTATACTAGAAAATATTGTCTTTCATATTGACGACATTGGATTCCAGTCCGACAACTGCTCATGACACTTTCCCTGGCAATTGGTAAATATCATATTCTCTCGTTTATCGTTTATTGAATTGTTTCGGACGTGATCAAGACAGAAAATGTAAATATTATGTTCACAGAATACACCTATGGTCGTCATAGGATGGATTTCGAACACACTTTAAACAAATTAATTCACTTTATACAAATTAAGTCATCTCACTGACATAGGAAATGTAAACTCAGTGAATTATTAGGCACATCATTGTATCTAACCCGTTACCCGAGTACAGAAACTTAATTTTTTTCACTAACATAGTTTTTAAACAAAATCTGCCTCCATGTGCGATTGTTTAACTATGTCAGTTCAAGGAAGAATATTGCTAAAAAAAACGTAAATTTTGTCAAGACCACATTCCAGCAAAAATGTTTATTTCATCCTATTCAAAGACCCTTTATATTGATTTGGTTACAGGGTAAACTATGAAAGCTAATACTGAATATCTACAACGATTTCACTTACGTGATGTTTCTGGGCTGTGCAACTACATAAACCATGTAAATATAAATAACAACCAACAAACAGGAATGTTTTGAAATAGTGCAGAAAATTAGCTACACATGGTTGACTAGTTGTGCCTGACGGCTAATTTTGGGTTACTGTCGATAATGGGAGCACAAACCACTCGACAAAGTATAGTTGTGTACAGCGAACATAACTTACGTAATCAGCCAATGATTTTATACCATTTGGAAATCGAGTTGAGTTTGCTGTCAGTCTGTTGTTCTCATCTCGTTCATGTGACATCCAACAATCGTCTAAATTTACATATTCATATCCCACATCTTTGTAACCACCGGATGCTATTCGGTCAATCATGTCTCTAAACAATTTCTCTCTTGTGATATAATAAACAAAACAGCTATATAATATAACATAACATAACAACAACGACAATGGCAACTTCTTGCATCACCACAGTGGCATTATGGGAAGGTAGAATGTTCACCCATACACATTTACAATGTAAGGTGATATAATGTGACGTCAACTGTTAATATTACACCCATTCACAACTTATAAAGAAAATCATCGTAATGCTGAACCAACGAAATATTACATATTATTAACTAATACATTACTTGAACTATTGTATGACTGAACCAATATAAACCACTGAACGAGTGTGCTACTTAAACCTTCGAATTAGTGAACTAATGAATTAATACAACTAGTAGATGACCTAAACCATTGTATTACTGAACGATTGATTGTATACATCTAGTACATTACTTAAACTAATGTATTACTGAACCAATGGAACAACAAAACTAAGTATACTAATTAACCATCTTATTACTGGGCCAATGAATTAATACAACTAGTAGATGACTTAAACCACTGTATTACTGGGCCAATGAATTAATACAACTAGTACATTACTTAAACCATTGTATTACTTAACCATTACCAAAAGTATGGAATAACAGAACTAAGTATGCTAATTAAACCATCGTATTACTTGGCCAATGAATTAATACAACTAATTGATGACTTAAACCATTGTATTACTGAACCATTAAATGTATACATCTAGTAAATTACTTAAACAATCGTATCACTAAAGTAATGGAATAAGAAAACTAAAAACTAAGTAGGCTACTCAAACCATCAAATTAATGAATTTATACAGCTAGTGCATTATTGAAACTACTTTATTACTGAACAAATGCATGTGTATAACTACTATATTACGTAAATTAATAGAATTAGTACATTAATCACAGTCCCTCTAAAGGGACTGTGATTAATGTGACCATATTATTACTGAACTGACTAATTAACTAACGCATTACTAAGGTCACCTTTCACTGGACAAATGAATTATTACATCTAGTATACTTTTGAAATCATCGTATTATTATAATACTGCAAATAATTTACTCATTAAAACACTGAATAGCTCTACATATATGTAATTTGGGACCCCAATTTTTTTCAACATATCATCCACCAAATAGTGAACACTAAGATTATCTATAACCAAATCATGTGTACCGTTACGATAATCAATGTCACAATAAACTCACCCGATACAGTTATTCGGATCGTTGTTGCAGTCAATATTACATCGAAACCTTTCCCAATCGTTCCATCCCATTGGAGGCGTCCTTGCCAATCCATTATCGAGTGCAGTCACTATTTGAACTAAATAAAAAGCCGCTAACGTATATACGAGCCAAGCCATCATGTTGACTTATAACTCAGGTGTAGAGTTTAAAGTTCATAAACAGGACGCCAGACTTCGCCCTCATACAAAATACAATCACAGGGATCAAGCATTGCAAACACACGGCTTTAAAGATGAAGAGATAGTCATAGAGTATAGAATACATACTGGTTGATTTAAATAAGCACACACAACAACAACGCCTTAGCTGCACACACACCTGTCCAAAGTTAAAATCTGATGGACATGTTGGTTCTTAAGGTAGAGATGCAGGTTCGTGGGCATTTGGGAGTAATTTTTTTTTGCTTTTTATTATTCAAACAGTCTTGGCTATAGACTATTAAAATTTTGTAGAATTGTGAATAGTGGAACATACTTAAAAAAACGATTTTAAAATATAGATAACAGGTGCAAACATGCTCTCTTTTGTATGCTTAGCAAGATTTAGCAAGGCTGTACATAAATAATAAAAAAGAAACATAGTGAAAAAGAAATGACGGGATCTCCATGTTATGCACTATATTTAACTTTTAACAAAACGATAATACATTTAAATTTGGAAATATTACAACCATTTTAACTATGATCATTAGCAAACTTCTTACTGAGTGAATTGTTATGCAAATTAGCAATTATCTCAGCTTCTTTTTAGTGCACATCTCAGAACAAAAAAAAATAGCTCCTAGACGCTTTGACCTTTTGTTTTGAAATTTTCACAGATGATTGACAATGTGTTTATATCACAATGCCGTCGCCGTCTAGCCTGGGTATTAATTTATGCATAAACTTGAAGTAGTGAAATTTGGGCTGCTGCCCTGCAAAATTGACAACTGGTAGACAGTTTTCAAGAGGGCACTTTCTTCATAGTATACAGATGTACCCGTAAACCAATTTGGACAGGAAGCAGAAGCATGGTTTAGGAGCAAATTTTTTTTAAATCACTTTTGACCAAAAGAGCACATTTTTGTGTATATTTCAAACTACAGTGTCCATAAAAGAAAAATACTAACAAAATTTTAAAATTCATACAATTAGCTTTCCGAAAATATATAGTTTTGTGGTCAATGGAGATCATCTTGGTTTCCTAATTAACTAATTAAAATACTTGTCAGGTAAACTGCATCTCTACCTTAAGGCCAGTACAATGGTATTCATATGTATATTTGTTTCAACTAAATATCAATCGCTTCTTAGGCGTGACTGTGACTTGTTGCGGTCTTTTCTTATATTAGGTTATAAATGCATGTCGTATATTTTCGCGATTTCATTCAAAAGTGTATGCAACTACACTTTCACTAATTGCCCTTCAATTTAGTACAAGGGCAAGACAAAATTAATGGCGTGAAAAGTGTTTATGATAGATACAATGTCTATGTAGGTTTTTCCTAATATTTGACAACACTATATTAACAACCAGTCGTACGTGTGACCTCCTTGTATTTCTAATCGTCAACACATGAGCCACAGAACGGTGGTGATAGTACTGCGCGCATGTCAAAATAACCCCAGTAATCATACACAACACGTACACAGTATCACTTTATGTATAATAGCTGGTTACCCAGATTATAGTTAAGGTGTACAACACGACGACGCGGACGTCCACAATGAGAACAGTACACTTCATTTGACAATAAAAATGTTATGTAACAATAATTGTTAAACTAGAAAACGACTGATTTGTTTTTCTATTTTCCTACGTTTAATTTCAATTTCAATTTTGTAAGTTAATGAATTAGATAAATTATGGTATACACATTCACCATAACAAATGGTAAGATGTTACTCTAATGATTAATTACAATTTCGTTATGAATCAAAATCATCTTTACAAACCGTCAATATGTTGACTCGTGTCGCACACACAATTTTAGTTTATCAATATGTGGTAACTGTGGGAAAAACCATGGTTACTTTGATGAGTTACCAGCTTCAAATTGCTATTTTTATGCGTGGGAGTTGACGTATATTAACACTTTCGGTAATCGGCGTCCCCCATTTTGAGTAGTATCCTGATACAACATGTAGAAATAGTTCAATGAACCCGACGACAAATGCACAAAACAGAGATTGCTTGGTTGCTGTCCGTAAACATCCATCTACGGGAACGCAATATGATTAGGTGCGTATTTATTTATTTATTTATTTATTTACTTGTGATTTGTAAAATGTAACACTATTAGGGACTGTCATGACCCATGGCTTCAACATGAGTTAACCAAGAACAATAAGGCTATGCAGTTCAAAAATTGTGTAGTTTTTACTTTACAAAAAAAAAACTTACATTGAGAAAAAATTGTAAACACATTCAAAGATTAATTTAGCGCAATCATCACTGAATGTCTAACTAGAATATTTAAACAGTTAAACTCCGACCGGTTGAGCTGTCACCATGACGACACTTGTCGGATTGATTGAGGTTACGAATGGACCTGTTACGTTATATATTCCCAAATCATGGTGCAGAAACTAATCTCTGAGGGCGTACTTCTCGACTGTCTTGGTGAAGCCAACCTCACCCAATGTCACTGTCACGTTGGATGGTCCAACGCAAACTCTTTTGTTAAAACATACAGAAAATTTTATTTTTCATCCATGGTTTTAGTCTAATTTATTCCAGAGCACCTCTGCGGTGAATTCAATTTAAATCTGATTTTTTCAGATATCAGAAATGGGCTATTAATAGATAATCAATATGTCATGTCTGTGGATTACCTCAATGAACCAAATGAATTATTATACAAACTAAGCATTTATTATGCATAGATTAAGGTCTGTATATTGTTTCAGGCGCACATGCACAAATTTTCATTATAATGTGATGATTAATCCTAACTGAACTAGTGGAAAGCTAAAAAGTAAATTATTATGCAAATTAGGTATTTATTATAGATGTATACAAACCTAAAACTAATTTGATCATCACATTGTGTTAGAGTACATATGTACCATGATTCATTGAATTAAGATAAGTACTGTCACAGACCATTTATACTACGAAGTTTTATTGTAATGTGATTAGAACCAAAAATTGTGATTTATTATGCAAATTAGGTAATTTAATATGATATGATTTTAATTCAAAACTGAGCGGGTCTGTGCATTGTTCTGGAGCATCTATGTACAAATTTTCATTGAAATGGAATAATTAGTAAATGTGATATCACTGTAAAAGCTGAAAATTGACTAATTATGCAAATTAGGTAATTAACATGCACTGATTTTAACCCAAAACTAATCGGGTCTGTGCATTGTCCTATAACATCTATGTACCAAGAGTCATTGAAATGGGATAATTAGTACTTGCGATATCAGTGTAAAAGCCAACAATTAACTAATTATGCAAATTAGTTGATTAATATGCACACATTTTTACTTAAAATTAATCAAGTCTTTGGATTGTTCTAGAGCATCCATGTACTAAGTTTCATTAAAAAGTAATGAAGTAATAGTACTTGAAGTATCAAAAGCTGAAAATTGATTAATTATGCAAATTAGGTAATTCATATTTCACATATCTGTCTGTTCATGGTACTATGTATCTACGTAAGTTTCATTGATAAGCTGAAAATTGACTAATTATTATGCAAATTAGGTTAATTATATGCATGGATTTTTATCCAAAACTAATCACATCTGTGCATTAGTCCAGAGCATGTATGTAGCAAGTTTCATCAAAATCTAATGAATGGCTCTTTAGATATCAGTGGAACAGTAATTGAACAGCTAGAAATTATCATGCAAATCAGGTAATTAATATACATGGATTTCAACCAAAACCTAATCAAACCTGCGCATTAGCCCAGAGCATCTGCACACCAAGTTTCATTAAAAACCAACATACGGTTTATGATGA